CTCTCCTGCTCAGGGACTCGGGGACATTTCTAAACAAACTGTTCCTGAGGCCGGACTACTCTGTGACCGCTCCGACTTGGACCCCTGGAGGAGAGGGAGTGACAGCCCGGGCTGGGGGCGGGGCCGGTCGCTGCGGGAGGACCGGGGCTTCTGCGGGGTCTTCCGGCTTCTCCCCGGGGAGCCCCAGGACCTTGGGCTTAAGGACAGTTTGGCCCCCGGCCACCTGAAGGGTGGCGCTTTCTTCAGCATTTCCGTTTCCCGGTTTGGCTCCAGGAGACGCACTGGGAGCCGATGCGTTCCCAGGGAGAAGCTCCAGCAGAAGAGACGCTGTAACTGCGTCGTCCACTAACGGCGGAGTAGCAGGGCAGGTGCCTTGGGGAGGGCAGTCCGCCACCAGACTGCTCTGGGCTTCCCGCTGCCATCGGCCGGCCTGGAGGACCCTCGCGGGCTGCGGCGGGAGTGAAACTACCGCGCCCGGCTCCGCCGCTGCCCAGGAGCGGGGCTCGCTCCGGTGTCGGCGCTCCCCTCCCCGGACTTTGCCGCTGCTGCTCCTCGGGGCGCAGGTGGGTGCGGGGCGCTCGGGGAGGGCAGACCCCGACGGCGGGGCGGATGTCGCTCGGGGCTGGACGAGATCGCGAGCAACTGGCGAGCTCCGAGCGGGGTGCGGGCGGGGGCTGGGGCAGGGGGAGACCAGCGCGTTCTGTCCCGCCCCCCGCACCCGCGCACTGGGGTCCCAGCGGCTCAGGGTGGGAATTCTCCCAGCGCACGGGCGGCCCCGTTTCCCACTCCCGCGGCACCCCAGATTCTCCACGGGAGAGGCGGGGGAGGGCGTGGGAAACACAAGGCCGAGGTCACTGGTGGTCCGGTTCCTAACACGACGTGACCGGGACCGGTCCGCGGGGTGCGCCCCGGTGCAGGTCACGCTGGCGAGGGGACCTGAGGTGGGTCCCCATTTTTCCGGGGAGACTGGAGACTGCCGAAGTTCTGTCGGGGCCTCTGTGGAGCCTGGCGGGCGGAGTCCCTGTGTGTCCCGAAAGTGTGAGGGAGCGGGGAGCACAGCCACCTTCCGACCAGAGCCGAGTGGGAGTGGGTAGTAGCGGTGGCTGCAACCCCAGGGCATGGGGGCGGGGTTGTGGGTGGGAGGTGGGAGAAGGGGTGGCTCCCAGCCCTGGGCCTGTCGGTGGGACTGCAGGGGGAGGGGCAGGGACCAGAGCCAGGAGCTTTTGTTGCCTAAACCCAAGCCATCCCTCCCGGGGATGGGCAGAGAGTTTCTCTTAAGAATCCCGCTCTTTCATTTACTGAAAATCAACTCTGGCCGGGCCAGGCACCGGCTGGTTTCTGTACGATTGGGCTGCCCAGCGCACTGGTGGGGAAGCTATGGAGCGGCCCCAGGGGGAGGGGTGGCCACAGGCTTACGGGTGCCCACTCAGCACCCCCCTTCCCCGAGCTGAGGCGTCTTGAGAAGAGCCAAGGATGAGGCAGGTCCCCAGCCCTTGAGACACATGGAGCCGGGAATCAGTCCAGAAGGTTCCAAGGAGCCAGGAGCTTTGGGCTGGTGCTGTGCTGGGGACAGGCCGCCAGGTGCTGTGGCACCTCCTCAGGCAGAGGCCGCAGGGACCAGGGGACGTCTGTGCGCCCCCCTTCACAGGCTCCTACATGTGCAGAGTCTGAGACCTGGACGGCGTCTCGGAGTGCAGCCTGAGCGAGCCTGGGTCCTCCTTGGCCCACCGCCACCTGGAGCCCCCATCCCTGCCGTGTGCCAAGTGCTGGGAGGGTGGGGGTGCGTAGGGAGGCGCGGGGGGCCCTCGGTTTCTGCAGCCCGCCCACATCAACCCGGCTGGCAGGAATCACCCCAAGTGCAGATGTGACAGGTGACAGGGCGTCGCGGTGGCCAGTACGAGTGTCTCCCAGGATGACACGTGTCTGTGGTGAAAGGGTACCCTTGAGGTCCCCGGGATTCAGAGCTGCTGTTGAGACAGGAAAGCTCACGGGTTCACCCTGCACCTCTGGGTGCCCTGCAGTCTGGGAGGAGGCTCGGGTTCTGCCAGCTTCCCACCCAGTGCTCCCGCCACCGCGGCAGCGACCCTCCCCCCACAGTCCCCTGCACTGGGTAAGGGGGGGGGGGGGGGAGGGTGGTGCTTAAATCTGAGCAGGGGTCAGGCCAGTTAGAAAGGTGACAGACTCCCCCCTGACATGTCTGCCTCAGTGAGGAATAAACTACAAGAGATTTGAAATATAGTTCAGGATTCCTTGTTGTCCTTCAGAGGAGAAGGCCATCAACATTTCAAGAAGGACAGCCTGAGTCTGGGCTCGGCTTCAGGCAGCGAGGACGGGGTGACCGTGTTGCTCCTGCGGACCCTGAGCTCAGTGTGTCCCCCATCGCGTGTCCCCTCTTCGTCTCCTTTCTCGGTTCCTCCAGCCGTCAGGGCGCAGGCTGTCCGCTCTCTGGTTGACCTTGTTCCCGGGTGGTTTCTGCTTTCGGACACAACCGCAGGAGGGGCTGACGACACCTCCCTCTGGTTACCCATCACTGCTGCCCGGAAGTGCACCCGTGTCCACGTTGTGTCCTGCGACCTCACTGCCTTCATTTGCACATTCTCATGGGATTTCGTGGGTCCTCAAACGGTCCTACGTAGCCCGTCCTGCCGTCTGCGGGCAGTGCGAAGGCTCCTCCTCCCTCGGATGTGCTTGCTGTTTGTCTCTGTCTCGCGTGAGCGCTGTTGCTCGGACTCCCAGTGCTCTGGGGCGGGGGGGGAGGGGTGGTGAGGGTGGGCGTCTGTCTTCCTCCTGATCGGAGAGAGGGAGCTTTCGGCGTCTCACTGTTGTGTGTTGTGTCACAGTGTGTCTAGGAATTACAGGGTTTTTAAAAGATTTATTTTATTTATTTTTAGAAAGAGGGGAGGGGAAAGAGAAAAAAGAGGGACAGAGATATCAATGTGTGCTTGCCTCTTATGCGCCGCCCCCCCCCACTGTAGACCTTGCCCACAACCCAGGCATGGGCCCTGACCAGGAATTGAACCACTGACCCTTTGGTTCCTAGGCCCGTGCTCAGTCCACTGAACCACACCAGCCAAGAAAGCTATTATGTTTGTAGTAACATTTTTATTCATAACTATAACAAAATTGGGTGCAATCTATACATTGTGCTCTTGTAGATTTTACTCTGATGAGCAGCATTAAATATGGACCTTTGTGTTGATGCCAGTTTCTCTTTAAGACCAGTTGCTGCCAGTGCAATCCATGGGGCTAAGGATAAAACTTTTTCAGGGCATTGGGACCCAAAAACCAAAAAAAAAAACCGAAAAAAAAACGGAATTACCTACAGGAAGGTGGGACCCTTGTAGTTCAGGCTTCCTCACCAGGCGAGAGTTCCAGGAGCCCATCTGCATCAGTGACCAACTGGTGTTGTTGTGAGAGGCTGGGGTGGGCTTCAGTGAATTTTTTGACGACTCTTCCAGATTTGGCCCATTTCCCAACAGGTGATTTACCAGCCCACCTGTCCACACCTGCAGAATGTTGAGCAGTTTTTGACCAAAAACCCACGTGCCCACCCTCCCTACTCCCCCAATCTCACCCAGACCGACTGTTTTTCTTTCCCACATGAAAAGGGTCCACAAATGGAAACATCCCGATGTGTAAGACGTGAAACAAAACGGCAGGAGCACTAAGGGGTGTCAGAGCCGCCGAGTCCAGAGAGTGTTCAGGGCGGTGGAGGGACGTCCCCACGGGTGTCCCCCATCCAGGGGGGAGCATGTGAGGGGGACCGAAGGGTAAGGGCGTGAGAATAAAAACACGGTTTTCATAAACAGATTCTCTTTTTCGGTAACCCCTTGAGCACATGTGGCCAAATGCATCCACAGGTGTTCACATTGACATGAAACAAAGGATGTAATTACCATTCTAAGTTATTGAAATTTCATTGCTTTAGGTGTTATATTTTAACATTGTCTGTGATAGGAATAAAAAACAATAAATATCCTCCAAAGTATGTGAAAATATATTCCCCACTCTGGAAGCGTTTCAACTTTAGATCATTCAGATAATTGTATTCTTTTTTATTTGTTTGTTTATTTATTTATTTATTTATTTATTTATTTATTTATAGTGTTGTTTAAGTACAGTTGTCTCCATTTTCCCTGAACTACACACCCCCAACCCAGCCATACCCTAAAACAGTCAGATAATTTAAAGCACAGGGGGCCAAGGCCATGGGCTTCTGCCCTGCAGGACACAGAAGCCAGTGGGAGGGGCTGCCCAGGAGGGAGGTGAAGGGGCAGGACGTGCTGGCTGCTGTGCAGAGCGCGGCCTGCAGGGGGCAGCAGCGGGAAAGGGGACTCAGAGCAGAGGGGCCTGCCTTCCTCAGAGGGTGGTCTGTGGGGGGGGGGCACCTGGCTGGGGCAGGGAAGTGTGGGCCAGTGGGGGGCTTCTGAGCAGATTTGCAGAGGAGAGTCCGGGCCTCCCTGCTAGCGAGGGATAAGGTACCTGCATTACCGCTCCATGTTTCATGGCTGATTTCCATGGAGGGATCCAAGGTGAAGAGACCCCCAGGGCACATTTGCAGAGGAGGCTCTGGGGTCCCCAGTGATGGTGGTGGTGCCCGGGTCGGCCCTGGGCCGGCAGCCTCTCCACGTGGAATCCTCCTCCTCCTTCCAGGTGGTCCCTGCTGCCCAGCCCCTGCTGGCCTCTCTCTGTGCACAGCAGGTCAGGATGGGGAGGTGCCTGGTGCCCCGTCTGCCTGCCCTCCCTGTGTGTCTCGCCGTGGTCCAGCTGCTCAGCCCCTGCTCAGGTAGGACCGGCTGTGCGTCTGCGTGTCTGCATCCTTTCCCTTTGGGCCCAGCCAGAACCCGGGACTCCACCCACCCCTGCAAGGCCTGTCCACACCGCACCTGTGTGAGGACTGAGTTCCCGTCTAGCTGTCTGTCACCTCACCTCCCTGCCTGGGACACCCCCTGGCCCTCTGACCCTGCTCCCTCTGACGGAGCCCCCCTTCTGATGACCAGCTGAGTTTGCTGTGGTCGGACCCCCCGAGCCCATCCTGGCCATGGTGGGTGAAGATGCAGACCTGCCCTGTCACCTGTCCCCGAAGATGAGCGCTGAGGCCCTGCAGCTGATGTGGGTGCGACCCGGCCGCAGGCAGGTAGTGCACGTGTACGCACACGGGCAGGAGGAGACGCCGGCAGAGGAGTATCGAGGGAGAACTTCGATTTTACGAGAGGACGTCACTGCGGGGAAGGCCGCTCTCCGGATTCACAACGTCAGCGTCTCAGACAACGGAACCTACCTGTGTTATTTCCAAGATGGAGGCTTCTATGCAAAAGCCCAGGTGGAGCTGCAGGTGGCAGGTGAGCCTCAGGCTTGTTCCAGGCTCCTTTCCGTGGGCGGGGGCAGAGGCTGCAGACCTACCCCAGAGCACGTGGGCTGCTCACCAGCATCCACCCCCGCCTCCTGGAGGACGCTCACCTGGGGTCGGGGACACCGGGGTGTGTCAAGAGAGGGGGCGACAGAGAGGACCCAATGAGGGTCGGGGTGATGTGGAAGGCCCCCACAGCACAGGCAGGACAGGCAGGGGCAGTGGGGTGTGACCCAGGTAGACTAAGGGGCACCACCTGCATGCTTGCCCAGGGAGGGGTGAGGGGTTCTGCCAGGGACCAGCCTGTCTGGGGCAAGGGGGAGGGGAGGCTGCGGCAGTCTCTAAGGGGACTTGGGGGAAGCAGCCTCTGCTCTGGCCCAGAGCCCCCTGGATCCAGCACGAGGGTCCAGCCAGGGTCAGGCAGTGGCCCCAACAGGGATCAGTCTCTGCTGCACAGCACATGCTGGGAGCAGCTCCTGGTGAGTCCCTGCTGGGCTGGTCAGTGTGGGCGCCCCTCCCTGCTGTGGAGACCCCCACCAATACAGAGGGCTCCCCACGATTCAGCTCACTTCTCCTCCCCAGCGCTGGGCTCTGATCCCCACATTGGCATGAAGGGCTACGAGGCTGGACGGATCCGTGTGAACTGCACATCTGCCGGCTGGTACCCGCAGCCCCAGATCCACTGGAGAGATGCCAGGGGACAGAGATTGTCTGATGAGCTGGTCTCAGAGGCTGCAGACCCCCAGGGCCTTTATGCAGCCTCAGCATTTGTGATCCTAGAAGAAGGCTCTGGGGAGGGGGTCTCCTGTGTCATCAGAAACCCCCTGCTGGGCCAGGAGAGGTCAGCCAGGCTTTCCATCCCAGGTGAGTGCCGTGCCCCCTGCCCTGGGCTCCTGGGTGGTCCCTGGAGGAAGGCTCGGGGTCTGCTGCTGACCTGGGTCCCTGGGGGATACAGAGGGCACAGAGCAGGGACCTGGGGCTCCTTTTCCTGAAGTGATTTATGTCACAGAGACCTTCGGAGCACTTCCTGCCTGCCACACACGGTGCCAGGCAGTGGGATGTGGGGTCAGATGGGAAAGTTCAGTAAACAGAGCAAGAGGGGAAAGTAGACACAACCCAAATCTCAGTGAAAGGGCTAATCTCCTTTCAATATAAAGGAACACGGTGGATAAAAGAGCAAAAACGGCAATCATCAGTTCCCAGGAAGGTAAAATTCACAGGAGGAGGCCAAATCTGATGGAACAGGGATGTTTTCCACAAGGGAAATTGGCAGCAGCAGGACAAATGGGGGGGCGGGCGCCCTCTGGTGGCAGGCTGTGGGGAGCCGGTCCCTCAGAAGTTTGTTGTCACAGAAGAGAAGAGACAGCCTGCACACCAGCTAATAGGAGCTGTTTTTGCTGCAGACAAGATAAAATTAAGTGTATTTAGTTTTCAAAACTTAATGAAACCTGCGTGGCACTCACCCTGTGTCAGGCACTGCATAAGCACTAAATTAATGCTCTCACTGTCAGGACGCAGCAACAGATGGTTATGTCATTAGTTGAAGGTCACAGCGCTGATCGGGCAGGAGACCAGGGACTGGCACCCAGGCTCCCAGCCCCAGAGTCTGTTCTTTGTCACCCGACTCCTCTGATTGAGGGGGGCCAGGTAGTAAGTGGGGGAGAGGTGCAGAGGGGACGTCAGTGACACTGTGTGTGCGTCCTCATGCTCCCTCTCATCCCATGGCGGGGAGACATTTCAGGAAAACCTTCCTGACTGTGTGATAGTGAGGGTCTGGGCGCTCTGGGGACAGAAAGATCCCTTCAGGGGCTGACGCCATCCCTCTGCAGGTCCGTTCTTCAGGGACACACAGCCTTGGATGGTGGTGCTTGCAGTGATGGTGCTGGTTCTAGGGCAGCTCCTGGTCGGGGTGGCGTGGTTGTTGCGCCAAGGGCGGAAGAGGATCCAGGACGTGTCCCAGGAGAGGGGGAGAGCACGAGCTGAGAGAGAAGCAGCAGAAGCTGAGAGAAAAGCAGCACAAGCTGAGAGAGAAGCAGCACGAGCTGAGAGAGAAGCAGCACGAGCTGAGAGAGAAGCAGCGCGGGCAGAGCTGCGGCGGGAGTGGCAGCTGCAGGGAAGTGTCCAAGGTGAGGCCCAGGTGCAGGTGGTCCCTACCTCCCTGCCCCGCCTACCACCCGCCTCCTCCTCTGCATATCCTTGATGGGACTTCCTTCTTCTCTTTATTTCCAGACAGGCTGCAGGATGCGCTCCGTAAGTCCCCATTCCCGTCCCTGTGTGTCCTGGGGTCCCTGGGGACATTGTCACTGACTCCACGGGTGGTTCCCTGCAGGGCGGAGAAAGCCCAGGTACCGAGCACCTTTGGACCGGGACCTGAATGAAGACCTGTGTGATGGGTGAGCTCAGCCCCTTCCCTCACCCCTCACTGCCCAGGGGAGGAAATGAGGACACTAGTGGCACCAGGCAGGGGTCTCTCTGAGGGGAAGGGGCTGAGGTTTCTCTCCACTAGGGGACACGAGGCCCGGACACCCCCAGAATCCCTGGAAAAATACCCTCCTCTGGTGAGGTCCCGGGGGCTGCAGCGCTGCTGTCAGTGGGATGGGGGTGGGGGTTTCCTGCGGCACCAGCAACAGGCCGCGTGCTGCTTGTACTCTCGTCCTCTGACAGCTCAGGGAGACCCCCCACGTGGCAGACCCAAAGGTCAGACAGTCGGGAGCCCAGCGAGGGTACAGACCTCGCCCCTGCTGCCCGCACAGCCGCTCTGGTCCCGCTGGTGAGGAGGGGGCGGCTTTAGCTCACCAGTCACCCTCGGGCCCTGGGTGCCCTTCGGCCAGGCTCACTGTCTCCACATGAATGATCCTCAGGCCCGTCGGGAGTCCGGCCAGGTCACGTGCTACCTCGTACTCCTGTCCCAGTTCGTTACTTCAGTGAGATCATCCTGGGCGCCCAGGGCCTCCCCCCACCGTGGGCCCAGGTTGCCAGCTGGGACCCTCACAGCGCACAGCACACGCCACGCCTGCCTTCCAGGATCGAGGCCGAGGCTCCCTCCATGATTCACTTTTTTGAGCCACGAACAGGATGTACTTCAAATTCGGGCAGGGGGTTCCCGAATCTAGCTGGAGGAGGTTCATGAGGTCCACGGGACTGGAGGAGAACCACCTTGTCATCTGTGCGCACGAGGCCCCGGGGACCCTGACGGAGCAGCCCCACAGGACGCTGCCGCGCTGGCGGAGCGAACTGCGTGGCTACTGAAAAGCGCAGGGGCCCAGACATAGAATACGTGGGCCCGTTTGCCTGACGCCTTGTTAAGTGGGGAAACTGGTGCCTGACCATTACCCGCACTACAATGACAAGAAGGGGCTTTTAAACAACCCCCCGTGGACACGGAGGTAAGGGGAGAGGGTGCAGGACCACAGAACATGGAGAGTGAGCGACAGTGTGCTCGCTGACGTGTAGTTCCAATGAGCCTGCATGTCCGCTGGCCCCAGGGGCGCTGCAAGGAGGCGCTGCCTGCGACAAAGCCCCAGAGATGCCCGGGAAGGAGGGACACGATCTGACTCTGCAACAGGGGTCCGTGCGGTCCGGAGAGCCCAGGTCTGTGCTGTTCCTGCGACAAGGAATTCAATCCGGGCTCACTCTCCCCCTCCCCCAGAACACGAGGGGCCGCCCTCTGAGGGGTCCACTCAGGAAGGCTCTGCACTCGGGGTCACCGGGCACCGGTTGACTGTGTGAGATTTGGTGTCATTAGTTTGTTTCCTGAAGTGTCGTCTCCAGGGCCACACAGCTGACCCCCAGACTGTGCGGCCAGCAGAAGGAACAGAGCACAAAGGGAAACGCAAAGCCTGATGGTCGTGCCCGGAAAGGAGCACGGGCGAAAGCCGTTCACAAGGGGTGGGGGGCTGTCGGCACCCTGATTTCTCATGTCACAGGTCAGCTCCGCCGAGGCCGCCGACTGTATTTTCACTCCCTGGGTGGGAAACACTGGACCAACTCTGAGCCTGATGCCCACGCTGGCTCGTAGCAGAGGTGTGAGGGTTTCCTGTCCCTGTCACAGAGGGGCATGGCTTCTGTTCATAAAGTCTGGTTTCGGGGGTCCCCAGGTCCTGAATCCTCGGGTGTCATGAGCTTGAGTCCCATCCCTGTTTGTCGACTCGGTCAGGGGCCACGATGCCCGGCCCACATTCTCCCAGCTGAGCTTCTGTGAAGTCCCCTGGGTTCGGGTGGCCTTCCAACCCCCCACCTGCAATTGGGGGCCCCTGCGGGTGGCCTGAGGGTCAGAGCTGATGGGTCTGCCTGGCGTCCCCATGGCAGACGCCCTCCGAACAAGAGTCAGCTCAGGTCACGTTCAGTCCCCAGCGGTCGCTCCCTAGAGTAGGACAGATCCTGGGGACACAGACCCCTCCGTCCCAGCACCGCGTGCCCCCCACAAAGCCCTTGGCAATGGCATTCCTGCCCCCTCTCGGGCCGTGTGTCCTCTGTCCGGGTTCCTGCGCCGTGACGACGCTCTCCTTTCAGACGAAGCAGCTTCTGCAGTCTGCTCTCGTCCTAAGTACACGTCCGTCCTCCTTGGTAACTCGGGACGTACGATGGAGCGGTTATCCCCACCGACTCGCTACCGCACCGTCCTCTGCCGGCGGGGGGGGGGCGGGGGGACGGCCTCCCCGTCCCACTGGGCCCCCCTCCAGTGGGGATACCCGCCGCCATCCCGGTGTCTCCGTGTGTGACCGCCACGGCCGTCATCCCCCACACCTGCACCAGCGTCCCTCGGATGCGGGGCCCCCAGGCGGCGTCATACTTCAGTGTTTCAAGGTAGCTGACGATTTCCCTGCCACGGCTCGCTCAGACGGTGAAGCTGTTCAAGGCGGTGGTTCCCTTCCGTTGGGAAGGCGGTCTGGGGTCCAGAGCACCCGGGGCTGACAGGTGCCCTCGGGGGCGCCCTGGGAACTCACCCATCACTTGCTCTTTGCTTTCACCAAACTTCTCTGCGACTCCGCTGAAGGACAAGGGTGAGACTTTGAATCTTGCATCACAAAGTCCCCGGCTGCCCTCCTCCAGTCCCCTCCAACACGGGAAGGGACCGGGTCGTTCCCAGCGGGACCTCCGCACACTCCGGCAGGTGTGCCCACAGGTCAGAGTTGTCCCGCAGCAGCGAGGGGCCGCCTCCCGCCGGCCAGCAGGCCGCACCAGCAGGCCCACCGACAGCAGAGGCGGGCACTGTGGGGGGTGGAGGGAGCCAGCCCTGTGCCCTGCTGGGGGGGGGCAGACGGGCACCACCCCTGTGGGAATAGTGTGGGGGTCCTTGGGGAGCTGACGGGGGATCTGCCTCTGACCCAGTGACCCCCCTGCCGGGGTCCCACCCTAGGAACCCCGAAACCCCAAACCAAAAGCGCCCTGCCCCCCACGTTCACAGCAGCACAGTTTACAGGAGCCCAGTGCTGGGAGCAGCCCAAGTGCCCACCAGTGAGTGGACCCTGTCCCACCCCGTCCTGCCCTGGGCCTTGGGGGTCAGGGGGAAACACGTGGACGTCCGGGCCCCAGGGTCCCTCCTGTGCCCTCCTCCCTCCCGCTTCTCCCCCGTCTTTCCTGAGCTGTGAGCGGGGGCCACGGCCTCCCTCTGCAGCGGGCTGTGGGGTCTGTGCCCGCTGCCCCACCCTCCCTCACTGGCACCCCGGGCTGCCCCAGCAGAGGCAGGCCGCCCACTCTGGCCCTGGGGACGGAGCACTGGGGACGGTGGTCCCAGAGGAACCGAAGAAGCAGGACATGGGCCGGGCAGCAGGGCAGGCAGGGGCAGTCGGTGGGGCCACCCAGGCCCTGTGGCTCCACGTCCTCAGCTGGCTCCCAGGACAGCGGATGGGACCCCTGCCCTCCCTGGGCCTGCTTCTCACTGTGTGAACACCGCCCCTCCCGGGCGCTGGGGGGACTTTCCTCAGATTTCTTTGGCAGGACTCCAGGTGACTCAGTGGGTCTCACAGGTGCAGGGGGGGTGGTTGCCAACTTTGACCGGAGACTAAAATGCCCCGGGTGGCAAGGGTTAATGCTGCTCTGTCCCAGCTGCGCCCTCAGCAGAGAGCAAAACAGGAAACTGCCTGCAGGGGGAGCCTGGCTCCGCCTCTCTAGGTGCTTTCTGGGTTGCGGGTGGGGGGGGGGGGGAAATGGCTGGGGCAGAAATGGTGGGTAGAGGGACAAGGAGTGGCAGTTCCTCCTAAAGGGACCACACCTGGGCTCCACATCCACATTCTAGCTGCGCTGCACCCCTCTTCTCCATGTCCCTGCAGCGGTCACAGGACAGCATAGGGACAGGCTGGATGGGCTTTCGGTTCCTGAACGCTGTTGAACCTGGAACAGTCTCTACCATTTTTTCCTTTGTCATCTGGAGTCTGGGGTCCGAGAATAAGCCCCGAGCTCCGCAGAAAGAAGGTGGGGACCCGGGGATGGAGGAAGCACGGGGCTGGTGACTGAGAGGCCTGGACTGGTGCCGCCCTGCTGTGCATTGCGGGGGTGGTGGGGGAGCACCCACACGGGGTCCTCAGCGAGTGAGTCGCTCCCCCGGGCCTGAGGGAACCTGCCCAGGAAGCCAGAACGTGCTGCGCTGATGGTGCGCTCTCTCAGCTGGCAACAGGGAGGAGGGAGCAGCTGCATCCCCAGCCTTTGTTAAAGCAGGACGGACCCTCCCCTCCAGCTCCCAGGCCCACACATGGCCATGGACGTCCATGGGGGGAAACAGGTCAGCTGTCCTCCTGGTGGGACCAGGGCTGGTTCTGGGGTGAGGCTGGGACTTCCTGTGACCCCGGGGCCTCGTGGGGTCTGTGATCACAGCACACAGTGCTCCCCAAAGTGGGCTGGGGAAGCGCCCCACGGAAACACCTTCTGTTGGTGACATTGTGGACCCGGGAGCCTGGGGCCGGAGGGACGTGGAAGCAGGAACAGTGAAGCTGTGTCACTCCCACCCCCAGGTGTCCCGAGGGGACAGTGGTCCTGTAGCTGTGCCACTCCACGGCAGACACGGTGTGGGGCCCGCCCGATCCAGGTGAGAGGGGGTCCTGTTGTTAAGGGGTCTGTCTGAGGAGAGGAGACCCCGTGACCCGGGGGAGCCGTCTGACGAGGGCAGTGCCGTTCCCGCTCCTTCCCATCAGCCCTGGGACCAGCAGTGCGCCCCTCCCCCTCGGCCCCCAGCAGCCCTGAGTTACTTTCTGGGACGGACCCCCTGTTCAGGACGGGTCACAGACACAGAATGCAGTGACATGTGGCCTTGTGTGCCCGGCTTCTCTCGTTCAGGTCTGTGTCTCCCAGGCCCTGGGTCATGGTGGGACCTGCCAGGGCGTCACCTCTCTGTGTGGCCGAGGGACACTCAGACGTAGGTGCAGACAGACACGCGTGGTGGTGTTCAATCTCCTGCTCAGGGACTCGGGGACATTTCTAAACAATCTGTCCCTGAGCCCAGACTGCTCTGTGATGAGGACAGCTTTTCAGTCAGTGGTGTTGGGGACCCTGGACGTCCCCAGGCCTGGGAGGAGTTGGGCTATCAGGTCACAGCAGACACAGAAATTAACTCACGACGACCCAAAGACCCACCTGCAGGGTCTGAAGATGACAGAACCCCTGGAGGGGTCAGAGGGGACGACTGGCCACGTTGGATGGTGTTTGGGTCCCACGTGGTGACATGGGGTCACCTGGGGGGTGTCTCTGTCTGAGTGCCTCAGGGAGCCCCCATTCCCGGTGGGTCCACAGTCCTCAGATGACAGGGGTCCTCCTTCCTGTGCTGACGGGTTCTAGTGCATGGGGGTGCGTGTGTCTGTGCGCACACGGGGCCGCATGTTGTTCTGCCTGTGCATCTCACGGGGGGGGGGTCTGTGTCTCCCCCTCATGAGCCGTGCTCTGAGGACACGGGATGCAGGTGCCCCGACCGAGGGCTTTCACGTCCTTCACAAGCGCACGTGGGGTCGGTGTGTCTGGACTCGGTCCCCCGGCTGCTGGGAACCAGGTCGGCTTTGACCTCACAGAGACGCTTTCTGTTTCTCCCGCTGTCAGACGGCAGACGCCGGCCCTGGAGGGTCGGGGGCTTTCTCTGTTCCGTTTCGTTCGATCGTCATCTATCTCTGCATCAAGAAGCCAAAAGAGGGAGGATTCCAGCCCGTGTGCCGGGGGCTCCCCAGCGGGGCGCGCTACGATTTGGAGCCCCTGGAGGAGAGGGAGTGACAGCCCGGGCTGGGGGCGGGGTCTGGGTGCTGGGGCTCCTCCCCCATCCGGAGCCGCCGGAGGGGGAAACTACTTGGCAGCCACCCCGGTGCTTCTCCGCCGAGCCCCAGGCCCCTGGGCTCAGAGCCGACCTGCCCCTCGGCCGTCTGAAAGGTGAGGCGTCTGCAGCATTTGTGTTTTTTTCTGGCGTGGGTCCCGGGGACTCGCTGGGAGCCGACGAAGAGAAGCTGCAGCTGAAGTGAGTCCGTAAAGGCGCCGTCCCCTGGGGGCGCTGTCGTAGGGGAGGCCCCTGGTCCGGCCAGTCCGCGCCAGACCCGGCTGCGGGGCCCGCCGCCCTTCGCGGGGTGTGGGGCCCGCGCCCGCCGCGGCGGGAGTGAAACTCCGGCGCCGGCTCCGCCGCTGCCCCGGGGCGGGGCTCGCTCCGTCTCTGCGCTCCCCGCTCCCGACTTTGCCGCCGCTCCCCGTCGGGGCGCTGGGGGGGGGGTGGCGGACCCCGTCAGCCGGGTCTGATGTCGCCGGGGACGTGCAACGAGGCGCAGGCGGGCGGCGGGCGAGCTCTGAGCCGGGCCGGGGGCCGGGGCCCGGGTGGGGGCCGGGGAGACCTGCCGCCTTCCCTCCGCCCCCCGCCCCCGCGCCCTGGGTCCGAGCGGCTCGTGTTGGGAACTGTCCCGGCTCAGGGGCGGCCCCGATCCCCCCTCCCGCGGGACCCCAGATTCCCCGCGGGAGAGGCCGGGGGTGGGGAACCCAAGGCCGAGTTTCCTCGTGCGCGGCTCGTAACACGCCGGCTCAGGAACTGGCCCGTGGGGTGCGTGCCCTGGCGCAGGTCACGCCGGCGAGGGGGACCCGAACTGGATCTACGACTTTCTGGGAGGACTGGACACTGTCCACCTTCTCCCCGGGCCTCCGAGGAGCCTTGCGGGCACAGCCCTGACTGCACAGGAAGTGGGGTGAAGCCGACAGTTGCGGTTTCTGAGCGGAGGCGGGTGGGGGCGGGCAGTAGCCGCGGCTGCAACTCCAGGAAGTGAGGGCGGGGCTGCGGGTGGGAGGAGCGGTGGCTCCCAGCCCTGGGTGAAGGAGCAGGGACCCGCGCGTAGGGGGCGGTTGCTGGTGTTGCTAAAACCAAAACCAAAGTCGCCTTTTCCGTGAGTGGTCGGGGATTTTCTTTTAAGAAGCCTTTATCGGCCCTGGCTGGCATTACCCTGGCTGGCCTTATTCAGTGGACGGAGCGCTGGCTGCGAACCAGGTATCGTAGGTTCGATTCCCAGTCACAGCACATGCCTAGGTTGCAGGCCATGGCCCCCAGCAACTGCACATTGATGTTTCTCTCCCTCCCTCTCCCCCCTTTCCCTCTCTAAAAATAAATAAATAAAATCTAAAAAAAGAAAGCCTTTATTTAATACAAATCAACTCTCGAGGGACCGGGCGAACGCCTGTTTGTGGATGACTTAGGCTCGTCTGCTCCCTGGCCGGCAAGCTGCGGAGGGTCCATGGGGGAGGGGTGGGCGCAGGCTCTGGGGTGCACACTCAGCACCCCTCTTCCCAGAGCTGAAGCCGGTGGGGAAGAGCCGAGGGTGAGTCAGGTCTCCACTCCCCGGGACACATGGAGCTGGGTTATCAGTCCAGAAGGTTCCATTCAGGCAGGAGCTGAGGGTTGGTGCTGTGCTGGGGACAGGCGGCCAGGTGCTGTGGCACCTCCTCAGGCAGAGGCCGCAGGGACCAGACTGGGGTCCCTGCACAGGCTCATCTCTGTGCGTCCCCCTTCACAGGGTCCTACATCAGCAGAGACTGTGACCTGGACCTTGTCACCCAGTACAGCCCGTGCCAGCCTGGCTCCTTCACCACCCACCGACACCCAGAGACGGCGTGCCTGCCCTGTGCTGAATGCCGGGAGGGTGAGTGGGCGCAGTGAGCTCGGGGGCCCTTTGGTTCCCACAGCGCGCCCTGCAGCGACCTGGCTCCTAGGAATCACCCCAAGGGCAGGTGTCACAGGTGAACGGGACGGCGGGGTGAGCAGGACGCGTGTCTGCAAGGATGACATGGAGTCTGTGGTGCAAGGGTCCCCCTGAGGTCCCCGGGGGTTCAGGCCCGCTGTCCGGGAGACGAACGTACAGGGTTCACCCCGCACCTCGGGGCGGCCTGCAGTCTTTGGAGGAGGCTGGGGTTCTGCCACCTTCCCACCCCGAGTTCCTGCCACTGGGGCAGCGACCCAGCCCACAGTCCCGAGCACTTGGAGGGGGACTTAAATCCGAGCAGGGGTCAGGCCAGGTAGAAAGGCCCCAGCCTCCCCCCTGACGTGTCTGCCTCACTGAGGAATAAACCGCAAGGCATGGACAATAAATACATTTCAGGATTCCTTGTTGTCCTTCTCACAGGAAGACCATCGGCGTTTCAACAAGGACAGCCTGAGTCTGCACGTGGCTTTGGGCAGCGAGGACGGTGTGACAGAGTTGCTCCTGCCGACCCTGAGCTCAGTGTGTGTCCCCCCATCAGGTGTCCCCGCTTTGTCTCCTTTCTCGGTTCCTCCAGCCGTCAGGGCACAGGCTGTCCGCTCTCTGGCTGACCTTGTTCCCAGGTGGTTTCTGCTTTCGGACGCAACCACAGGAGGGGCTGACGACACCTCCCTCTGGTTACCCTGTCACTGCTGCACGGAAGTGCACCCGTGTCCACGTTGTGTCCTGCGACCTCACTGCCTTCATTTCCACGTTCTCACGAGATTTTGGTGTGTCCTCAAACGGTCCTACGTACTGCGTCCTGCCGTCTGCGAGCAGTGCGAAGGCTCCTCCTCCCTTGGATGTGCTTGCTGTTTGTCTCTGTCTCATGTGACCGCTGTTGCTCGGACTCCCAGTGCTCTGGGGCGGGGAGGTGGTGAGGGTGGGCGTCTGTCTCCCTCCTGATCGGAGAGAGGGAGCTTTAGGCTTTTCACTGTTGTGTGTTGTGTAATGGTGTGTCTAGGAATTACGTTTGTTTGTTTTTTTAAGATTTATTTTATTTCTGTTTAGAGAGAGGGAAAGGGAGGGAGAAGGAGGGAGAGAAAGACATTCGTGTGTGGTTGCCTGGTATGCGCCTCCTACTGAGGACCTGGCCCACAACCCCAGATTGTGCCCTGAGTGGGAATCGAACCAGTGACCCTTTGGTTCCCAACCCTGCACTCAGTACACTGACCCCCACAAGCTAGGGAAGGAATTATGTTTTTCATAACATGATTTTATTCATAATTATAACAAAATTGGATACAATTTATACACAGTGCTCTTGCAGATTTTACTATAATGAACAGCATTAAATGTCAATTTTTGTATTATTGCCAGTTTCTCTTTAAAAGCAATTCTTGCCAATGTAATCTTTGGTGCTACAGATAAAACTTTTTCAGGGCATTTGGTATACAAGGAGTGACCCAACCAGAAACAGGAAAAAAAATAAACCATCAGTTACCTTCTGGAGGGTGGGCCCCTTGCAGTCCAGGCTTCCCCACTAGGAGAGAAAGTTCTAGGAGCCCATCTGCATCAGTGACCGGCTGGCTTTGTTGTGAGAGGCTGCGTTGGGCTTACTGAATTTTTTTTTGGACGACTCTCCCAGAGCACTGGCCCATTTCCCGTTGGGTGACTTACCAGCCCACCTGCGCTGAGTGTTGAGCAGTTTTTGACTAAAAACCCACGTGCCCCACCCTCCCTACTACCCCGATCTCACCCAGCGCGACTGTTTTTCTTTCTCGGGTAAAAAGAGTCCACAAACGGAAACACCCGACATCTAAGACGTGAAACAAAACGGCAGAAGCTCTGAGAGGCGTCAGAGCCGCCGAGTGCAGAGAGTGTTCAGGGCGGTGGAGGGACGTCCCCACGGGTGTCCCCCATCCAGGGGGGAGCATGTGAGGGGGACCGAAGGCAAAGGTGTGAGAATAAAAACGCAATTTTTATAAGTAAATTCTCTTTTTGGGTCGCCCCTTGAGTACATGTGGCCAAATGCATCCACAGGAGTTCACGTTCACGTGAAACACAGGATGTAATTACCATTCTGAGTTATTTCAATTTCATTCCTTTAGGTTTTATTTTAAGTTGGTGTGTGATAGGAATAAAAAACAGTAAATACCCTGCAAAATATTGTAGAAATGTGTCCTCCAGTCTGGTAATTTTTAATCTTCAAATCATTGAGGTATTTTTCTTATTAAATATTAATTAATTAACTTTAATTCTGTTCAAGTACAGTTCTCTCCATTTTCCCTGAACCACTGCACCCCAACCCAGCCATCCCCTAAAACAGTCAGGTAATTTAAAGCACAGGGTGCAAAGGCCCTGGGCTTCTGCCCTGGGTGACAGGGGACCCCGTGGGAGGGGCTGCACAGGAGGGAGGTGATGGGGCAGGACTCGCTGGCTGCTGTGCAGAGCGCGGCCTGCAGGGGGCAGCAGCGGGATGGAGACTCAGAGCAGAGGGGCCTGGCTTCCTCAGGGGGTGGTCTGGGGGAGGCACCTGGCTGGGGCAGGGAAGTGTGGGCAAGTGGGGGGCTTCTGAGCAGTTTCCCACAGGAGAGCCGGGTGCTCCCTGCTGGCGAGGGATAGGTACCTGCATTACCGGTCCATGTGTCATGGCTGATTTCCATGGAGGGATCCAAGGTGAAGAGGCCCCCAGGGGACATTTGCAGAGGAGGCTCTGGGGTCACCAGTGATGGCGGTGGTGCCTGGGTCAGCCCTGGGCAGGCAGCCTCTCCATGTGGAACCCTCCTCCTCCTTCCAGTTGGTCCCTGCTGCCCAGCCCCTGCTGGCCCTCTCTCTGTGCACAGCAGGTCAGGATGGGGAGGTGCCTGGTGCCCTGTCTGCCTGCCCTCCCTGTGTGCCTCGCCGTGGTCCAGCTGCTCAGCCCCTGCTCAGGTAGGACCGGCTGTGCGTCTGTGTGTGTGAATCCTTTCCCTTTGGGCCCAGCCAGAACCCGGGACCCCTCCCACCCCTGCAAGGCCTGTCCACACCGCACCTGTGTGAGGACTGAGTTCATATCTAGGTGTCTGTCACCTCCCCTTCCCTTCCTGGGACACCCCCTGGGTGTCTGGCCCTGCTCAGTCTGACGGATCCCCCCTTCTGATGACCAGCTGAGTTTGCTGTGGTCGGACCCCCCGAGCCCATCCTGGCCATGGTGGGTGAAGACGCAGACCTGCCCTGTCACCTGTCCCCGGAGATGAGCGCTGAGAGCATGGAGCTGATGTGGGTGCGACCCGGCCACAGGCAGGTAGTGCACAGGTACGCACACGGGCAGGAGGAGACGCCGGCAGAGGAGTTTCGAGGAAGAACTTCGATTTCACGAGAGGACGTCACTGCGGGGAAGGCCGCTCTCCAGATTCACAGCGTCAGCGTCTCTGACAACGGAACCTACCTGTGTTATTTCCAAGATGGAGACTTCTATGCAGAAGCCCAGGTGGAGCTGCAGGTGGCAGGTGAGTCTCAGGCTTGTTCCAGGCTCCTTTCCCTGGGCGGGGGCAGAGGCTGCAGACCTACCCCAGAGCACGTGGGCTGCTCACCAGCATCGCCCCCGCCTCCATCTCTGCTCCTCTGAGGCCTGTGACAGACCCAGGTGTCCCCCAGGGTGACTTCCTCCTGCACCCAGTACAGAGTCCCCCAGGCCGCCCACCAGTCTCAGAGGGGAGTGCAGGTCGGGGACGGGAGAAAGGGGACCTCCCCGCAGTGGGTGGAACATGGGTGTTTGGGTTCAGTGTGATCCAGACCAATGCCCTCGTCCCCCAGGGGCCCGCTGTGGTGGGTCCAGTGGACAGAGCTGCAGGGGCAACCCCTGTGGGGCCCACGTCCCCCACCAAACCCCCGGGAACACAGCTGCAGTTGCACAGGTTGTGTCCGTCCTCGGGTGCAGCGAGGGAGGACGCTCCCCTGGGGACGGGGACACGGGGGTGTCTCAGAGAGGGGGCGTCAGGGAGGACTCGGTGCGGTTCGGGGGGATGTGGAGGCAGCGCTGGGCTCTGGGTGGGACGCGGTCAGGATGGTCCAGGTGTCACTGGTCACTCACAGCCGGCACAGGGAGGTGGGTCCCTGCACACAGTTCCTGTTTCCTCTGTGCTGTCACCCCACCCTTGAGTCGCCTTGATGTGGCCCGGACCCACCCCAGTGAGGAAGCACCTTGTCTGAGGTGCTGCCCCACGAACGTGCCTGTGTCCGGGCATCAGGACTGCAGTTCGAGTTCCCCGGACACAGCCCTGCCCTGTGGCTTCCAGTGCGTGGGGGCTGGTGGAGCAGGGACAGTGCGGCCCCCTGGCCTTGTCCCCGCACGGCCCCTCCTCAGCCTGCTGTCCCGTCCTGCAGACCTCGGGTCCCTGGACTGAGCCCTCCCTGCAGGACTCTGTGTGTTCAGGTCCTCAGAGGGCTGCCTCCCCCTCTTTGTGTTCAGGGGGTGGGGGCAGGTGGTAGTAGCTCCCCTCTTCCTGGCCCGGGTCCGCTGTCTTCCGTGGGAAAGGTTCCCCCTCTGCACAGCCTCGCTGTGGGCACTTCCGGGGGGAGACCCTGGAGGGAGAGCTGAGCAGCCTGGCAGTGAGGGCAGCAAGAGCCTCCCGAGGGGCCTTGCACATAAGTCCCCGCTCTGGCGATGGCAGGACACCGTGTGTCTCCTCCTGCTCATGGGAGGGCACAGCCCACACAGGTCAGGCAGCATGGACAGGGGCAGTGGCGTGAGTCCAACTTAGGCGAAGGGGCACCACCTCCATGCTTGCCCAGGGAGGGGTGAGGGGCTCTGCCAGGGACCAGCCTGTCTGGGGCAGGGGGGAGGGGAGGCTGCGGCAGTCTCTAAGGGGACTTGGGGGAAGCAGCCTCTGCTCTGGCCCAGAGCCCCCTGGATCCAGCACGAGGGTCCAGCCAGGGTCAGGCAGTGGCCCCATCGGGGATCAGTCTCTGCTGCACAGCACACGCTGGGAGCAGCTCCTGGTGAGTCCCTGCTGGGCTCGTCAGTGTGGGCGCCCCTCCCTGGTAAGGACACCCCACCAGTACAGAGGGCTCCCCACAATTCAGCTCACTTCTCTTCCCCAGCACTGGGCTCTGATCCCCACATTGCAATTAAGGGCTACGAGGCTGGAGGGATCCGAGTGAACTGCACGTCTGCCGGCTGGTACCCGCAGCCCCAGATCCAGTGGAGAGACGCCGGGGGACAGAGCTTGTCCTCGGAGGCAGCATCTGAGGCTGCAGACCCCCAGGGCCTTTATGCAGCCTCAGCGTCTGTGATCCTGGAAGGCGGATCTGGGGAGGGGGTCTCCTGTGTCATCAGAAACCCCCTGCTGGGCCAGGAGAGGTCAGCCAGGCTTTCCATCCCAGGTGAGTGCCCTGCCCCCTGCCCTGGGCTCTGAGGTGTCCCTGGGGGAAGGTGTGGTTGTCTGCTGCTCACCTGGGTCCCTTGGGGATACAGAGGGCACAGAGTGGGGACCTGGAACCCCTTGCCTATAGCAGTTTATGTCACAGACACCTGAGCTCTTCCTGCCACACACGGAGCCAGGCAGTGGGACTTGGGGACAGAGGGGAAAGTTCAGCAAACACACCAGGAGGGGAAAGTAGGTACAACCCAAATCTCAGAGAAAGGGGTAATGTTCTTACAACATAAAGGAACACAATGGATAAAACAGCAAATACAGGAATGATGAGTTTGAGAAAGTTAAAACTCCCAGGAGGATGCCAAATCTTAGGAATTGGAAATATTTTGCCCCTGGGAAATTGCCAGCAGAAGGAAAAACGAGGTGGTGGAGCCCTCTGGTGGCGGGCTGTGGGGAGACAGCGCCCCTAAACGCTGGTGCTCCTGGGTTTGAATGGGGCCTGCTCGCTGTGCTGGGGCGGGCAGGTGACTGAGACACAGGCCGAGGCCCACAGCATGCCCACCAGCTGCATAGGGGCTGTTTTCACTGTAAACAAGATAGAACAAAATATATTTAGTTTTGAAAACTGAATGAAACCTGCGTGGCACTCACCCTGCGTCAGGCACTGCATAAGCACTAACTGAATGCTCTCACTGATCAGGACGCCAGCAACAGACGGTTACGTCATTAGTTCAAGGTCACAGCGCTGGTCGGGCAGGAGACCCAGGATCGGAACCCAGGCCCCCAGCCCCAGAGTCTGTTCTTCATCACCAGACTCTGCTGACTGGGTGCAGATAGTCCGTTGGGGGGGGTGCAGAGGGGACGTCAGTGACACTGTGTGTGTGTCCTCATGCTCCATCTGATCCCATGGGGGTGGAGACGTTTCAGGAAAACCGTCCTGACTGTGCGACAGTGAGAGTCTGGGCGCTCTGGGGACAGGAGATCCCTTCAGGGGCTGACGCTACCCCTTCGCAGGTGCCTTCTTCAGGGACACACAGCCTTGGAAGGTGGCCTTCATCGTGACCCTGCTGCTGCTCCTTGCGGGGCTCCTGTTCGGTGTGTGGTACTTGCTGTGGCGACAGCGGAAGAGGATCTGGGCCCTGTTCCAGGAGGAGGGGAGAGCAGAAGCTCAGAAAGACGCAGCGCGGGCAGAGCTGCGTCTGCAGCAAAGCACCCAAGGTGAGGCCCAGCTGCAGGTGGTCGCCACCTCCCTGCCCCGCCCACACCCATCCCCCCCGGATCCTCCTCTGCATTCCCTGGATGGGACTTTATTTTCAGTTTATGTCCAGAGTCGCTGCAGGAGGAGCTCAGTACGTCCCCATCCCCATCCCTGTGCGTCCTAGGGTCCCTGGTCACATGGTCACTGACTCCACACGTTGTTCCCCGCAGGGTGGGCAAGGACCTGGTAGTGACCACGTCAGCTGCCCTGGACCTGCATCTCAGCCTCGGCTTGGTTAGTTCAGCCTCTCTCTTCAGTCCTAAGCGCCCTGGGGAAGAAATGGGGACACTGATAGCACATGGCATTGGTCTCTGTCAGTGGGGAAGTGGCTGCGATCTCCGTGCACAAGGGGGTGTTAGAGTCCATACACCGAAGGAACCCCGGGAACCCTATAAATAAACCCTGGTCTGTTGAGTCGCCAAGGGTTGGCAGCTGCTGTCAGTGGGACGTGAGTGAGGGTTTCCTGCGGCACCAGCGACAGGCCGCGTGCTGCTTGTACTCTCGTCCTCTGACAGCTCAGGGAGACCACCCACGCAGCAGATCCAAAGGTCAGACAGCAGGAGCCCAGCGAGGTCACAGACCTCGCCCCTGCTGCCCGCACAGCTGCTCTGGTCGCACTGGTCAGGAGGGGCCGCCTCAGTGGACACCTCACCCCGGGGCTTCCCCACCTCGGGCCCCGCAGGCCCCTCTGCCGGGCTCCCTGGCTCCGTGTGAATGAGCGTCAGGCCTGTCAGGAGCCCGGCCGGGTCGCGTCCTACCGCGCTCTCCTGTCCCCTTGCCTGGTCCCTTCTGCAAGGGCAGCCTGGGCGCCCAGGGCCTCCCCGACCCTGGACCTGGTTGCCAGCTGGGACCCCCACAGCGCACAGCACACGCCACGCCTGCCTCCTAGGGACGAGGCCATGGCTCCCTCCGTGATTTTCTCTTTTCAGCCACGAACAGGATCTACTCCAAATGCGGGCAGGAGGTTCCCAAATCTAGCTGGAGGATGTTCATGAGGCTCTCGAGACTGGAGGAGAACCACCTTGTCATCTGTGAGCACGAGGACCCGGGGACCCTGACTGAGCAGCACCACAGGACGCTGCCGCGCTGGCAGAGCGAGCTGGGGCGCGCCGCGTCCCCCTGCAGGCTCGTGGCGGCCCTCCGTGAGATGCAGCTGCGGGAGCATCTGTAGAATGTTACCAACGAGCTGGTGCTGAAGGTATCTTAGGTCGTGAGGACACAGAGCCCCGAACTGGAGTCAGCTCTTTCGGCAACAGCTGCGACTTAGCAGCATCCTGGGTGCTGACCTTCCCCAGGTCCCTTCCCGTGGGCGCCTTCACAGGTCCCAGATGGGGACGGAGCCCCTTCCGTGTCCAAGGAGCTTCTTCTGGAAGCTTCCGATGGGGGAGGACCATGCCAGCCAGGGGGCTCTCCTGCCTACAGCCCATGTGGCCTACAGGCTGCCCCTCAGGGGAATCCTGAGCTGCTTGGAAAGGGACCCACTGGCTGTGCTCGGTGGGCCCACGAGCCGTGGCCTCTTCCAGAAACACAGGCCAGGGAGGGCTGTCTGGTCACGTGTGTGACCCCAGCAGCTCTCTTGTCCATCTCTCAGGCACTGTGATGTCCCCGGCTTCCACTTGGGAGCGCCATACCAGGGTGACACTTAAGTCAGTCTGTGACAGACAAACCAGCAGGCACTCAGCTGTCACTAGGTTAGCTGGGGTGGGGACATGGGGACAGTCACATGCCAGCTATGGAGGCCTTTGTACTGTTTTTCTAGACAGTTCAGCATATGTGCTTTTACAGTTTTATTTATGTGTTAAAATTTCTGTAACATAATGTGTTCACATTTGTAAAACTTTTTTTACCCAGTAAAATTT